TATTCCATACATAACCCTATACTGTATACTTTATGAATCAATAAAAAATTTACAATTTTTAATTATAAACTTGTGTTTTCTATCAAAATTACTTCTTGCATGAATTTTGGGACACCCTTTATTTAGTTCCATCTCAGTGCTCCTAATTAGGGGTGACTCTGCCCCCAGCGACACTGGGGGATGTCTGGAGACGTCTGTGGTTGTCACACCCTCACAGTGCCCACGACAGGCCCCACTGAGAGTGACCTGGCCCCGGTATGAACCACACACTTAAAACGGCTAAAGTGGCAAGTTTTATGTTGCCTGTTGAACCACAATTAAAATTCTTTAATCTCACCCATTTCTCACTTTTTTTAAACATGGGTCCTAGAAATGTGGACTCACACGCACACACACACGGACACACACACAGACACACACGCACCCGCGCGCGCACGCACGCACACACACACACACGCGCACACACAAGCGCACGCACACACACACACACATGCACAGACACTTCTGTGGCCCAGCGCTGGCCTCGGTGCTGACCGACGTTCCCGGGCTGCGTCCATGCTCATCTCGAGAAGATCATTTCATAGGCCCTCAGATGCGAGAAGGGGACGGGAGATGTCGTCCACGCCGGACGTTCTGGGCCGGAAGTGGAATCTCGCCGCAGCGGGGACGGACGGGGTGAGGTCAGGAACTCGGTTCTTCTCTGCCCGCAGGACACTGTCCGGGGAATGCCTTCTCCTGCGGGAACAGCCAGTGTGTGACCAAAGTGAACCCCGAGTGTGATGACAGCGCGGACTGCTCCGATGGATCCGACGAGGCCCACTGTGGTCAGTCCGCCCGCCTGGCCTGGTCTTGGGCCGTGTCCCCTGGCCCCGTTTGCACAGAAAAGCCGAGTGTGGGACCCTGAGCCTGTCCTTCAATGTGGGGGCCGTGGGGATGAGAAAGGTGTCCCCGGAGCATGGCCGAGTCCTGCCTCCCTGGGGTCCTGGTTGGTGACCTGTCTTGCAGACTGCGGTTTGCAGCCGGGCTGGAGGACCGCCGGCAGGATTGTGGGCGGCGTGGAAGCGTCCCCGGGGGAGTTCCCTTGGCAAGTCAGCCTCCGAGAGAACAACGAGCACTTCTGCGGGGCCACGGTCATCGGGGCCCGGTGGCTGGTGTCCGCTGCCCACTGCTTCAACGAGTGAGCCCCTGTCCCTGAGGCTCGGGGCCCACCCCCCCCACCCCTGTGGCCCACCTTCCCTTCCGCCTTGGGGGCGCCACTTCTCCTGGGTGTCCTGAGAACCCGCCGGACAGATGCACAGTATTTTGTGTCCCTTCACATGTCGCACCTTCACTCAGCCCTGTGGGATTCTGTCTTTGTTTAAAATGTTGCTAATTCCCACATTAGGATTTTTTTTTTTTTGGCATTCATTATGATTTCTGACAATGTTGCTTGAAAATATGTCCTTTTTTGTTTTTTAAAGAAATATTTTTTAAAGTATATTTCTTTATTGATTTCAGAGAAGAAGGGAGAGGGAGAGAGAGACAGAAACATCAATGATAAGAGAAAATCATTGATTGGCTGCCTCCTGCACACCCCCTACTGGGGATCAAGCCGCAACCCAGGCATGTGCCGTTGGCTGGAATAGAACCTAGGACCCTTCAGTCTACAGGCCAACGCTCTATCCACTGAGCCAAACCAGCTAGGGCTGAAAATATGTCTTGATGACTGAGTTTTGGGGCTCCCCTTAACATTGGCCCCCAGAGATGACCTCCTTCTCCTGAGCCCCCTCCCCGGCCCCGTGCAGAGGGGCCGCTCAATGTCATTTGTTTGCCCCGCAGGTTCCAGGATCCCACCGAGTGGGTGGCCTACGCTGGCACCACCCAGCTCAGCGGCTCCGAGGCCAGCACGGTGCGGGCCCGCGTGGCCCAGATCATCACGCACCCCTCCTACAACCCCGACACCGCCGACTTCGACGTGGCGGTGCTGCGGCTGGGCAGCCCCCTGCCCTTCAGCCGGCACGTCCAGCCCGTGTGCCTGCCGGCGGCCTCGCACGTCTTCCCGCCCAGGAGGAAGTGTCTCATCTCCGGCTGGGGCTACCTCAGGGAGGACTTCCGTAAGCTCCCCTTCCTCCCCCCGCACCCCACCTGCCAGGGGCAGATGTACCCGCACAGTTCTCCCCCTTACCCACGATTCCCGATCTGCAGATTCGCCACTTGCTAACATTTATTTTGAACCCCAAGTAGATACAAATGGGGATTTTAGCACAGAGAGGACGTGCTTGAGTTGAGGACAAGCATGTTCTCATTTAAGGTGATGCCCTGCCTCCTGGTTTCAGCTCAGACTGGAAGCAAGGGTCCTTTTCATGCTATATTTACTGCCATGTTTTTTGTGGGTTTTTGTTGTTGTTGTTGTTGTTGCATTTTTGTGCTTTTTGTGGCTGATTTTGCTCCCCCCCGCCCCACCCCCCCCCCAAGCATGGGGCTGAAGTGCTGGCTAGTGTCGCACAAGAAGGCTGCCATGTGCCTCAGGGAGAAAAACGGTGTCAGGTCAACTTGGTTCAGGCACGAGTTACGGCACCGCTGGCCTTGAGTTCAAGGTCAATGAATGAACACAGAGTTCCGATGAGGAGACAAGGCGATGGGCACCTATGAGAAAGGCCAGAGGAACAGTTACATCTATAGAAGGAAGGCACTGCTGCTGGTGCCCGCACATGACATAGGGCTGTTTATTCTAAAAAATGTTTACTTTTCAGTCCGGTAGCTCTCCGTCCAGTCGTCATAGTATCTGCTTTCTTATCATCTTTGCAAACAGTTCTTTGGGACACAAGGTTGCCTAAGCCCAGCCCAAGGGTTATTTGGCCCTGTTGTTTTTTTTTTTTTTAATGAATCAAGAAAGCTTTATTTATAAAAACAATTAGTGGAAATTCCAGTTAAGCACGTGTACACACACACACACACACACACACACACCCACCAACAAGTATCTGGCCTGAGAGAGAGATCGCTGAGTCTTGCTCTAAATCACAGTGAGAGATTAGTGGGAACGAAGGTATTTCAGACGGTTGCTTGGCCTTGTTTTTAACATTCAGGGTTTGAGGCAGAAGATGTGCGAGGCAGTTCTTCTGGGCTGGCAGCTCTGACTCCGTTTTATAGCGGCTTCGTTATTTTGGACACATGCATATTAAATAAGGCCCCTTTGACCGGAAACACACATGGCACAAGGTGATGCACCGATTGCTTGAGGGAAATGCTGTGACCAGAGTCTCCGGGACCTAAGCCTGCGTTTCCGCAGGAGCACGGCTCCATATTCAGGAATCCCGTGTTCGTAGTGACTCTGGAGACCAGCACGGCCTCAAGTGCCGAGAATCGGTTGTGATTGGAAGGCGATGAGTGCTGGGGAGGAGACCCACAGGACGCAGCAAGAACAGCGAGTGGGGTGGGCGGGCAGCTTTAGGAAACGGCCCACGAAGCGACCCTCAGCTAAGACGGGGCAGGGGAGGCCAACCCAGACAGGCAAAGAGTGAGGGGACAGGAAGAGTCCCGTCACTGAGGAAGTTCTCTCAGACAACATTGCTCCAGAACATTCCAGAGCTGCAGTGTGCAATCTAGTAGCCACAGCCTCGGACCAGGTCAGCAGGTACGCAAGTTTGTGTAGACCAGCCATGGGCAAACTACGGCCCGCGGGCCGGATCCGGCCCGTTTGAAATGAATAAAACTAAAAAAAAAAAGACCGTACCCTTTTATGTAATGATGTTTACTTTGAATTTATATTAGTTCACACAAACACTCCATCCATGCTTTTGTTCCGGCCCTCCGGTCCAGTTTAAGAACCCATTGTGGCCCTCGAGTCAAAAAGTTTGCCCACCCCTGGTGTAGACAGTGCCTGTCCATGGCTCTGGAGCCTGGGAGGGGGGTGTCCTCCCCAGGGCTTCCTGAGGCCGGGGTCTGAGACTCTGACGCACCCGAGCTCCCCGGCAAGGCCCACTGGCCTGTGTGTGGGGGTTTCCCTGGTCTGTGCCAGCCTGAGAAAAAAGAAAAATCCTGGAAGATTAGGATTTTGTGATAAAGATATTTGCCACAAGAACCTAATCAGGAGGGGAAGCGGCTGATGACTAAACCCAATCAATGAACATTTGAGCCCCTCCAGCTCACGGTTCCAGAGATTATGCAGCAAGAAAAACAGACAGCAGTCCCTGCCCACGTGGCGCCCCCGTCCCGTCCGGCCCAGCGCCATCCAGCATCACCGTCCTGGTGACGGGTGCTCTATGGGAGCACCGTCCACTGTGGGAGCCGGCAGCCCCATGAAATGTGGCCGGTGCAACTGAGAAACTGGGCTTTACATTTCATTTCATTTGCACGCATTTACAGCTACATTTAAATAGCCACATGTGGCCGCTGGCTACTGTACTGTACCTGGCAATTGTAGGGGCAGTAAATACTAGACAAGATGAGTGATAGATGGTGATGAAAGCAGTGGAGAAAATAACCAGGATGGGGGCACAAGGTTAAATAGGGAGGTCAGGAGGGGCCTCCTTGAGAAAGGAGAGGAAGGCAGAAGGCAAGCGGATTCCTCGGGACAATCATGCTAGGCAGCTGGGACAGGATGTGCAAGGGCCCTGGGGTAGGTGGTCCAGTCTTGGGCATTTAGGCTGAGCCAGGGGGAACACACCCTGGGGAAGGGGGGTTGAGGGGAAAAAGGATATAATCTGATTTAATGTTTAGCCAAGATGGCACTGGCTGCCAGGCTAAGAAATGATTCCAGCAGGGTAGGAGTAGAGCAGGGGTGGGGAACCTTTTTTCTGCCAAGGGCCATTTGGACATTTATAACGCCAGACAGAATTATCAACTTAAAAATTAGCCTGCTATATTTGGTCAAACATTTAATGAACTCACCCCTAATGCCTTGGCAGGGCCAGACCAAATGATTTCTCGGGCCTTAGATGGCCCGCGGGCCGGATGTGTTCCCTACCCCTGGTCTAGAGTAACAGCAGACGCAGGTAAGGGGAGCGGAGACGTGGAGCCCAGTCTTGGGGTGTCAACCTGGACACCTCTTAGCTGTCTGAGTGGGGAGTGTTACCAGTAGGCATTTGTAGAGCCTTTACTCTTTGCTAGTCTCTGAGGCTGGGGCTGCAGCATCTCTGCTTGCAGCTGGGGAAACTGAGGCACGGAGAAGCGAAGTCCTTCAGCATTCTGGCTCAGGGTGACTGCCAGGGCCCCGGAATACTCACCCCACTGGCCTCTCCTCCCCCGGGCAGTGATCAAGCCGGAGATGCTGCAGAAAGCCACCGTGGAGCTGCTGGACCAGGCCCTGTGTGCCAGCCTGTACGGCAACTCACTCACCGACCGGATGGTGTGCGCCGGCTACCTGGATGGCAAGGTGGATTCTTGCCAGGTGAGCCCCGGGGCCCGCAGGGGCCCCAGACAACGCCCCACCCAAGGAGGCGGCTAAAGAAGGCCCCCAGGTTTCTATCCTCGCTTTTCAGCACAGCTCTGGATTTCCTTCTTTGTAGGTTTTTATTTCTGTGTGTGTTGTTGTTTTGTTCATCCTCACACGAGGATATTTTTTCCATCGATTTCTAGAGAAAGTGGAAGGGAGGAAGGGGAAAAGAGAGAGAAACATGGATTGGTTGCCTTCTGCGTGACCCCGGACCAGGGCTGAGGAATCAAACCTGCAACCCAGGTGCGTATCCTTGACTGGGAATTGAACCTGCAGTGCGTGGGCCGACGCTCTATCCACTGAGCAACACTGGCCAGGGCTGCAGTTTATATGTTTGTTCTCATTTCTAAAGCCTGGTGGGTGAGGAGAGACTGCTACATGTGCTCAGGTTGCCATAGCAAAGAACCCAGAACCTGGAGGAAATGTTGGGAAATAATAAGAGAGCACTGGTGATGGTCGGAGACGTGACTTGGGGTGGTGAACACACAATACAGTGTACAGTTGGTGTGTTGTAGAATTCTGCACCTGAAACCTGTATAATTTTGTTAACCAGTATCACCTCAATAAATTAAAAAAATAAAATGGGCCCTGGCCCTAGGTGATTTGGCTCAGTGGATAGAGCGTCAGCCTGAGGATTGAAGGGTCCTGGGTTCGATTCTGGTCAAGGGCACGTGCCTGGGTTGCGGGCTCAATCCCCATTGGGGAGCTTGCAGGAGGCAGTCGATCAATGATTCTCTCTCATCATTGATGTTTCTATCTCTCTCTCCCTCCTCTCCCTTCCTCTCTGAAATCAATACAAATATAAATTAAAAATAAAATAAAATAAAATGAGCCCTGGCCTCGGTAGTTCAGTTGGTTAGAGCATCCTCCCGATACGCTGAAGTTGTGGGTTCGATCCCAGTCAGGGCACATACAAGAATCAACCAGTGAATGCATAAATAAGTAGAACAACAAATATCTCTCTCTCTTTTCCTCTCTCTCTAAAAATCAATACATCAAAATAAAACGGGGCCCTGGCCGGTGTGGCTCAGTGGGTGGGGCGTCATCCCACGCACCAAAAGGTTGCCAGTTCGATTCCCGGTCAGGGCACATTCCCGGGTTGCAGATTTGATCCCTGGTAGGGGGCATGCAGGAGGCCAGCCGATCGACAATTCTCTCTTTCTCCCCCTCTCAACTTCCTCTCTCTCTAAAAATCAATAAAAAATATTTAAAAAAATAAATAAAAATAAAATGGGGAAAAAGAAATAATAAGAAAATGCTTGTGTTTGAGAATGTGAGAGTCCAGGTGAGCTGGGTGTGAGGAGAAGGCGAGGCTCACAAGACAGGGTAAGTGAGGAGCGAGCCGGCACGTCAGGAGAAGGCCCCACGGCCAGTGAGCTGTCTGCGGCTCCAGCCGGGCAGCCACACTGCCCCCCTGAGCAAGGGCGACATCAGCGAGATGCAGTGAGATACAGGGGGCAGAGGATGTTGCCAACGGGGCTGGGTTTTGAACTGCTAGTGGTAGAACTGAAAGAGATCTTCAAGGTCCCACGGTCCTACCGCCCTATTTTATTTTTACGAAAGAGGAAGCGGAGGTTCTGAGATGTGAATTATCGGCCCCCATTTTCTCGTGAGCTTGTGTGGGGAGAGGGCCCCACCCAGGGACGGTTCTCGGACCCTGCAGCTCTGGGACCTGGAGCCTGGGAGCCCTGACTCCTCCTGAGGGTGTGCCTTTGTCTCCTAGGGCGACTCAGGAGGCCCCCTGGTCTGTGAGGAGCCCTCTGGCAGGTTCTTCCTGGCCGGCATCGTGAGCTGGGGCATCGGCTGTGCGGAAGCCGGGCGTCCAGGGGTCTATGCCCGAGTGACCCGGCTGCGAGACTGGATCCTGGGGGCGATCGCCATGGCGAGCAAGCCTCTGGCTCCCACGGAGGCTCCTGCCCCCGCCACCCCCAGCGCTGTCTGGTCCAGCAGCCCCAAGAGCCCGGTGGTCAACACCCCCACCAAACCCCCAGCGGCCCCCAGCTCTGCACCTCTTGACTCAGTGACGGCCTCTAAGCCACAAGGTATTTCCTGGGGAGACAGGCAGGGGCCGGCGTGTGCTCCCTGCAGGGTCGGATCTATTGGGACTGGCTTCCTGAAGACTCCGTGGGGAAGAGATGGGTGATGGATCAGTGACGTCTGTCATGAGCACAGGCTAAGACACACACATGGGCACCCTTCAGATTCATGGCCAAGGAAAGTCAAGCAATCCAACAGGGCAAACACAGAATACCCCGAAGGGTCAACAAGAGGCATGGCCACGACTGTGGGGCCAGGGTGGGAGAGAGACTGAGTTTTCACATGTGGGTGCCCTCCAGAAACACCACTACATAGAGCACGTATGTGTACATTTTCATATCCAAGAGCCCTCACTTCTATTTTTTTTTTTTCTTCAAAATTTTCCTGGACATGCTTGCATGCTTCTTTTTCCATGTAAAATCCAGCGTATCTGGGTTTTTTACTTTTATTTTTAATTGTGGTGACACACACAAAACATAACATAAAACCAACCACTGTAAACATTTTGGAGTGTCCGGTCCAGGAGTTCAGTCGCTTCACCTTGTTGGACTTGGGTCTTGAAACCCATTCACATCTGTCTTCACTCTGTGGTGTCCAAGGACCCAGATCTGATAGTGATCCTCCTTTAGGTCCCACAAAACCACGATGCTCCGAGCCCATCAAAACTCTGTTTCACAAAAGTGTCCCCTATACTCTGCCCCCTCTCTGCCCCCTCCCAGGATCCCACAGTAACCTGACCCCCCTTTGTTTGGTGAGACCCCCACCGGGGTTCTGCTGTGCGGGCTCCCCCCTTGTAGCAAGCTCATCACCCGACCTTGGGGGCTTCAGGTCAGTGTCTGGCTTCAGGTCTTAGTCCGATGGGGCCAGGGCACTTCATAATTTTATCTTCTCTTTTTTTTTTAATCTACTCGAGGACATTTTTTCCATTTATTTATTTATTTACTGACTTACTTATTTATTTTTGTTAATCCTCACGACTCGAGGACATTTTTTCCATTTATTTATTTATTTACTTAGTTATTTTTGTTAATCCTCACTCGAGGATTTTTTTAGAGTGGAAAGGAGGGGGAGAGACAGAGAGAAACATCTGTAACTCACATTGCTTGGTTGCCCCCGGCACGCGCCCCAAATGGGGGCCAGGGATGGAGCCTGCAACCCAGGTACGTGCCCTTGACCAGAATCAAACCTGCGACCCTTCGGTCCAAGGGCAGATGCTCTGCCCACTGAGCAAGCAGCCAGGGCTATCTTCTCATTTTTAACCGACTCCCCCCAGCTGTGCCACACGTTTGCTGCTAGTTCTTAGGACATTAGGGCACCTTTAAGCCTCAACGACCCATCTGTATAATGGGAGTGGTTTGCCCCGGCCCAATCAGAGCCCGGGGGCTGCACCTGGTGTGTGTGTGTGTGGGGGGCCTTCTAGGCCCAGGTGCGTCCACTCTGAGCTAAGGCACCGGGCCCTCTTCTCTCCCCTCACAGAGTGCGGTGCCAGACCGGCCATGGAGAAGCCCACCCGGATTGTGGGCGGGTCCGGAGCCACCGCGGGGGAGGTGCCCTGGCAGGTCAGCCTGAAGGAAGGTTCCAGGCACTTCTGCGGAGCAACTGTGGTGGGAGACCGCTGGCTGCTGTCGGCAGCCCACTGCTTCAACCAGTAAGACCGGCCCCGGCCCAGGAGGCCTGCTCAGCTCCCCCGTCCTCACGGGGTCCCCTTCCCCATGCATTCAGAAACCACTTACGACCAAACGTGCGGCCGTCTATGCACTAGGGTGGCCACGGCAGAGCCCCCTCCCCCAGCCCCCACCTCCCCCGGCTCACAACCCTGCTGTCTGGATGTCTGGTTGCAAATGAGAGGGGAGCATGAAGGAGAATTGGGGGCCCTGGAGGAGCCATCTCAAGGGAGAATAAGATCTGTCAAGCTGATCTTCGGGGAGCACTAGGGGACAGATGGGGAGGGGACAGCCAGGCGGCACTGACCTTTGAGTCATAAAGCTGTCGGGGCCTCTCGTGCTGCTGGGCCAACTCCCTCTTGTTACAGACCAGGAAATGAGGCCCAAAGGGGCTCCCTGTCTTGCCCCCAGCCCCCCAGTTTGGGACTGCTTTGGGGGAGCAGCCGTGTGGCCCCTCCACCCCCCTGGGGCCCCTCCCCGGAGTCTGGGCCCTGCAGCTCTGCCTGGCTTCCTGGGGCAGCAGGTGTGTCTGAGTGGCCCCTTGTTGGCAGCACGAAGGCGGAGCTGGTGCAGGCCCACCTGGGTACTGTGTCTCTCACGGGCATCGGCGGGAGCCCGGTGAAGATGGGGCTCAAAAGGACGGTGCTGCACCCCCAGTACAACCCCAGCATCCTGGACTTCGACGTGGCCATCCTGGAGCTGTCAGGGCCCCTGGTCTTCAACAAATACATCCAGCCCGTCTGCCTGCCCCTGGCCATCCAGAAGTTCCCCGTGGGCCGCAAGTGCGTGATCTCAGGATGGGGGAACACGCAGGAGGGAAATGGTGAGTGCCTGCCTGGCGGGCCCTGCTCCCAGTGTCTGCACACCCTGGTCTCTGCACTCCCAGCCACAGGCCCGAGGCGGCTCTTTTTTATACATGAAATTCAACTGGCACGCAGCCAAGCCCATTTGTTGACAGATGATCTGTGGTGGCTTTCCTGCTACAAAAGCAGAGCTGAGTAGCCCCGACAGACACTGGCCCGAAAAGCCGAAAATACTTACCCTGTGGCCCTTTCTGAAAAAGTTCCAGACCCTCGTGCTGTGCCCTGCAGAGCCCCAAGAGTTAACGCTTCCTTTGAAAACTCAGTGGCCGCCCCGCAGGTCACCCAGGGGGCTAGGGAATCCGCTTGGGATGGCGAGATCCTAGGGCTCCTTCTTGCCACGTGACTCTGTTTCCCAGCAACACTGTGAGCCTCAGTGTCTTCATCTGCAGGATGAGGAGGGTGCCTTTCAGGGCTGAACCAGATACTGAACGGTGATCACTGTGTGTCATTATGGGGGGGGGTCTCCTTTTCCTGGCAGCAACTAAGCCAGACACTCTGCAGCGAGCGTCCGTGGGCATCATAGACCAGAAGGCGTGCAGTGCCCTCTACAACTTCTCGCTCACGGACAGGATGCTCTGTGCCGGCTTCCTGGAGGGCAAGGTGGACTCCTGCCAGGTAGCATTCAGAGGGACCTGAGCGGGATTCAATCGAAGAGCTCGCACCCTGCCCCTGGCAACGCTCCTTTGTTCAGATCTGGGATTTTTCAGTGCAGGGGAAATCTGGAGTTGAACTAAATGTCTTTAAATGTATAGTTTAGAGAAATCCTAGTATGTCCCAGCAGAAGAGGAGGTAGCCGTTTAAAAGCGTGTGGTAGGCCCTGGCCGATGTGGCTCAGTCAGTTGAGTGCTGTCCCATGCACCGCGAGGTCGCCAGTTCGATTCCCAGTCAGGGCACATGCCCAGGTTCGGGCTCGATCCCCGGTAGGGGTCATGCAGAAGGTAGTTGATCGATGTTTCTCTCTCTCTCTCCCTTCCTCTCTCTCTAAAATCAAAATAAAACTATATTTTAAAAAATCTATTTAAAAAGTTTTTAAGAATGTGGTAGATATATACAAAATGTATACATACTTCAATATTTCTGTATGCATATTTAAAGTCATATTTTATATGTACATATTTAAAAAGAGATACATTATATATATATATTTAAATATATTTTTGTTGATTTCAGAGAGGAAGGGAGAGGGAGAGAGAGATAGAAACATCAATGATGAAAGAGAATCATTGATCAGCTGCCTCCTGCACGCCCCCCAACTGGGGATCGAGCCCGCAACCCGGGCATGTGCCCTTGAGTGGAATTGAACCCAGGACCCTTCGGTCTGCAGGCCGACGCTCTATCCACTGAGCCAAACCAGCTAGGGCAGGTACAGTGTATATTAACTGAAATAAAGCTAATCCCAGATTAGTACCCATATGACCACACTGTCCAACAGGATTCACTCCTGGAAGCTGGGGCAGGGGATGAGGGCGGGGCTGTATCAGACCCTGTGGCCCCGTGTCCCCAAGCCCTGTCCTCTTGCTCCCCTGATGGGCCTCTCCCACTGTGGGAATGCGGGAGGTCCTGGCAGTGCACTCTGCAGAGAGGTGCCCGATGGTCACAGCCAGCCCTCTCTCCTTCTTTTTAGGGTGACTCTGGGGGCCCCCTGGCCTGTGAGGAGACCCCTGGTGTGTTCTATCTGGCGGGGATCGTCAGCTGGGGGATTGGCTGTGCTCAGGCTAAGAAACCCGGCGTGTATGCTCGCATCACCAGTCTGAAGGGCTGGATCCTGGATATCATGTCCTCCTCCCCCCTGCCCACCCCTGCCCCCTCCACCACAAGGACGCCTGCCACCACCACGCAGGTCCCCAGGACAGTGGCTGCCCTCACAGTCCTGGGGGCCACAGCCAGCACACCCGCCCTCCGGGCCACCAGCAGGGCAGCCGGCCAACCTGCCAACAGCACCGCCAGTGCTGCGAGCACCACTGCCAGGGGGCAGACACCACTTCCAAACGCCTCGCGGACCACCAGGGACACCCAGCCACCAGGTACTGGGAGGAAAGGGGTGGCGCGTGTTGGTGGCAGGGGTCCGGCGTCGGTCTGTCAGGGCGGCTGTCAGCATCCCACAGGCTGGGGGCGTGCACAGCAGACATTTACCGCCTCCCAGTCCTGGAGGCCGGATGCCAGCAGGTGTCGGCAGGGCTGGTTTCTCCTGAAGCCGCTCCCCTTGGCCTGCAGACGGCCACCTTCTCCCCGTGTCCTCACAGGGTTGTCCCTCTGTGTCTGTGTCCTCATCTCTTCTTAGGACTCCAGTCATACTGGATTAGGACCCACCCCAATGGCCTCCCTGTACCTTAACCACTTCTTTACAGGCCCCATCTCCCCACAGCCACATCCTGGAGGTCAGAGCTTTAACTATGGCTTTTGTGGGGACACAAGTCTGCCCATCATCGCCCTGACAGCCAGGGACATGGGCATGGGCGGGCACTGAATGGGCAGACCGGCACCACCTAGTGGCAAATGTCTTAACCTGCAACCCCTGTCAGCTCCCATTTTTTAAAGGAAACTTCAGGGGGTACACGGGGAGTCCCTGACCAGGGTCTCCATGAGGGGAATTCTCCGTCCACTCATCCCACGCTCATAAAGCCCCCCTCTGGGCCAGACCTGCTAAGCTCAGGTACAGCAGGACCCAGAAGGTGGAGAAACAAACTCATGAGACGTACATAGTGAGGCGTGAAAGGAGGACCGAGCAGGACCAGGACCGAGCAGGGCCTGGGCCAGCTGGTCTCCCAGCTCCCGTTATGGCTGAGAGGGCACCTCACTGGCCAGCAGAGACGCCGAGAGAGAACGTAGCCCTGAGATCATTCCATTCGTGTCTAAAATGCTGAGTTCACTTTTACTAACTATTAACCAGAACTACTAGCATATAAAACTGCTGTATTTGTCGGTCAAAACTAAAGCCCCATCACGTACGGGCAATCTCCTACAGCTCCAGCTAAGACCAAGCCAGCAGATGCCGTCTGTGGTGTGTGGGGGCCACAGAGAAAACGCTGACTTCTGCGTGGCGTGGGACTTGCCAGGTGCATCCATGTCAGCGAGCCCGCCCACTCCCAGGCAGACGTGAACTCCATGCTCTCGCATCCAGATTCTGGGGGCCACGTCTGGGCTGCTTCCATTCAGGTGGGAGGCGGGGAGCAGGCTGCTCTGGGGAGCTCCCAAAGGGGCAGATGCTCAGCACACAGGCGGCTGGTCCATGCAGGCTGCACCACCTTCCTCCTCACCGAGAACTTTCCCAGAACTTCCCACTGTCCAAGGCCCCTTCACGGTGACCCCCGCAGAGACTGGCCCAGGGAGGTTTCTCTGCCTCCCTCCTCCGTCACCAGTCCCCTCCCTGGGCTGCCGTAGGTCCATTGTCCTTCAGATGGGTATGGGCAGGGGGTGTGTGTGCATAAATTAACCCCATGACAGAGACGGTTGGGGACAACTACCCATAATCCCACTACTCCATCATATCCTCATGACATGTCGTGAGGGTTCTTACCTGTTCTCCCTGCACATGGTCATACAGTGGCCTGGTTCCATCAGCCTGTCACCCCACACAGGCCTGAACCCACCAAGCCAGATTCACGGGCTCCGCCACAAGGCAGCCACACACCAGAGGCGCCCGGGACGGGTGGCCAAACAAAGCAAGTCCGGTTGTGAGAAAGCCAGGCTCTGGGGGCGAGTGCTGTGTCAGTGACCTTGAGATGAAGCAGAGCTTTCATGGGCTCAGACCAAAGCAGACCATGTGCCAAGGGCCTGGATGTGGGTTCGGAGGGCGGGGAGGGTCTGGGTCCTGTCTCCTTGGGAATCAGTTAAGGCAGAGGTGACACGTTGAGTCTGGAACCCCCTTATCTGAGCCCTGCACCTGGACCGGGAATCGAGGCGAAGTTTCGGGATTTAGACCCTCCAGACCCAAGGGGGGCCTTCCCTTCACAGCCTTTTCTGCCGCCTGGTTGGGGGCACAGGGATTCCAGCAGGGGCACTCAGAGAATGCGGGTGTGTGAGCCGGTGCAGCTGTAACTGTTCTTGGGAGAAACAGTTTCACTCCCCCGCTAGCTTCATCTGGCTCTGGCCTTTAGCCTGATTTTCACGTTTCCCCTAGCTACGGGCAGGCGTCCACTGTGGGGGCAGCGTTTCCAGGAAAGGGAGCACAGCTTTGGTCCTGGGCAAGGTCCAGATGGTGTCAGGAGGGTAGCAGCGGTGGGGCTAGCAGGGACGGGGCAGGTGGCCTCTTGTCTCCCCATCTCTTCTTCCAGCTGAGGCCAGAGCAGGAGCCTTTCCTCAATCTGGAGGGAGCGGAGGCAGCTGGGTGGTGGGAGTGGCTGGGAAGGGGCAGGCTCCGGAGTGGCCCTGTGGGAATCAGGTGGGTAGGCGAGCCCCTGACGGGTGCTAGGGTCCCTGCAGCACCCTCCTGACACCACCCTGGTGCTTTCTACAGCTGTGTTCTGAGGGTGCACCTTGTGCTGGGGGTGACGGGCGTCACAGCACAAGGGTGTCTGGGAAGACAAACTAGCACAGGAGCTGGTGGGCAAACGGGGGCCTCCTGGCAGAGCTAAGGGGTGTGGGAAGATCTGAGCCAGCAGAGAACCCAGCTCCTAAGGGACTGAGAAGCCTGGGAAGGCTTCTGGTGGGAGAGGACACTGTCCTGGTCCCTATCTGGGGAGGACGCACGGCCCCAATGCTGAGGTTGTGGGAAGCAGACTTGAATGCATTTCAAATGTTACTTGGGAGAAGCCTAGAAGAGGCGTGTTTGCAGGACCAAGCACGGAGTCCAGTGTTAGTGTGTTTTTTCGAGGCGGGTCCCCCACCCCTCAAAGGGCAGTGTGAGAGGCACTGCATCCGCCCAAGGCCCGAACCCAGCTCCTAAGGGACTGAGAAGCCTGGGAAGGCGTCTGGTGGGAGGACACTGTCCTGGTCCCCATCTGGGGAGGACGCACGGCCCCGAAGCTGAGGCTGTGGGAAGCAGACTTCAATGCATTTCAAATATTACTTGGGAGAAGCCTAGAAGAGGCGTGTTTGTAGGACCAAGCACCGAGTCCAGTGTTAGTGTGTTTTTCCGAGGCGGGTCCCCCAAGGGGCAGTGTGAGAGGCACTGCATCCGCCCAATGCCCTGTGCCCGCTCTTGCAGACTGC